GGCAGGTTCTCTTTGGAATCCGGTAAAAGGTAGCATACTTCAGTTATATGGAATGATAGAAGGCAGGAATTTGTCTCAAGATAATCCATCCATGTTTCTCTGTAGTTTACATAATTCCTTAAGAACTACACCCCACTTATCGTCCAAACAATCAAAAAGACTGCAACACAGACACAAACATTAAAATAATATAAAAAAAAAGACTCAAGGAATGAAGTGAGTTAGTGACAATATAATTAGATAAAAGAAAGCCACATACTGTCCTTGATGACAACATATTTTTTGATCTTGATCTGCCACAGAAAAGAAGGAAAGAAGGAAGGGAGGGAAGGAGGGAGGGAGGGAGGGGGCAGGCAGCCTCTTTTCTTTTCAATGAACATTATTATTCAACATAGAGATTTTGTATAAATGTCACATACTGTGCACTTTAAAAAAGAAAAGAATATCCAAGTGTGGTAAGTACACATTTGTATTCCCAGCACTGGAGATGCTAAGGTAAGAAGCTCTTGATTATAAAGTCAGCATGGGCTACATAGTGAGTTCTAGGCTAGCCAGCATAAAACCTTCCAAATCTAGCTAGCTATGATGACTCAATGTAATCTTGGATACTTGAAAGCCTGAGTTTGGGAAATTGTGGTTGCAGAAAGGCCCAGGCAAAAAGTTTGACAAGATCCCATCTCATCAACCAATAAAAATCGGGGCTCAATAGTGGATGATGGTCATTCCAACTACATAGGAATACTATTGTTTAGGTGCACTTGAACAAAAACGTAAGACCCTATTTGAAAATAAAAGGGCTGGACATGGATCAAGTGGTAATGTACCTGCCTAGCTAATGCAAAGCTCTGAAGTCAAAGCCAGTACTGCAAAAAAATAATAAATAATAAGTGAAGATACGAAGATTTTCTTTCAAAGCTCAACAATTCATTGACTCTTCTACTTACAGAAGCTCTATTTCCAAATGAGAATTTTATAATACCAGAACAAATACTCTAACAGTTGTATGTGACAAAACTGTATTTAAGAAATTCTCCCTAACATAAAAAATACACACCATTAAACTGGTGCAGTGAAACAGCTGGGAAAAGGCAGAAATCAAAGAAAGCTCCACAATTTGTGAAATTTCCCTCTAAAATACAATTTGGTAATTCTCAGATCCAAGAAAAACCAATTATGGAATCAACACCATTGGCAGAAGGGGCCTTTTGGGTTGGCTTTGGAGAAGTGAGGAAAGTAAAGGAAGAGTTACAAAGATTTACCTATCAGTTCCATTCTCTGTGTCCTCAGTGTTGAGGGCTACCTCTCTACTTCACTATTTTATTCCAATGGCTCCATTCACTGTCTATAACCTCACTGCAAAGAAAAATGTTTAATTTAAATCAGTAACTTTGCCTTTGATTCTAAGATACCATCTTGGCCCACAACAGTAATATCAGAATTGCTCATGTTCTACATACCTAATCTCTACATTAAGCCCCCTCACTGATAAAATCAAAAATTAGGTTGCAAAAAAAGATAGTAAGCTAATTTTCTCTTCAAATAGAAATGTTTCATGCTTACATATCTCAGATTTTTAAAAGCATATTTTATAAAGACAAAGATCGTCAAACTAGACTTGTAAAATACTACAAACACCACTTGGTCTCCAATAGATTTTCGAGTTTCTAACTCATCATTTTATTATATTGAAACAGCTCTGTTATAACCTGAACAAAGTTGCTGCAGAATTAAAATCATGTAACTGAAAAGTCAAATTCTTGAAGTACTAGTGTATATAACAATGAAACATTTTTAATGTTATCTGTTGCTTATAACCAACTTTAATTGTGTTTAAACATTCAGTGAAATGGGCAGCTTAGACTAAATCAGTGTAAAAACCAATAGTGTACAGATAATGAAGGCATCATAGAAAGTGGTTAAAAATTATAATGAAGAAAGAACTGGTAAGAATATAGCAACCTGGCTGAAACTGATATTCATTAGAGTACTCTTCATTTCAATAGGGAGCATTTGGACTCTGTGGTCTTTATCAGTGTCCCAGCTGGTAACGGTTGAAGGTTAATGCCTTACCCCCATTCTGTTCAATTTTCTATCCTAATTAGCCCTCCAAATCTATAGCTGTGAGTACGAAGTGTCTGTGCTCAAAAGAAACTAATTAATGCTACCAAATTAGATCAAGTCCAAAGATCCAACAGCCAAACTCTTAGTTAAATGCTCCTTGTTAATAGGAAGTGTAGCTGTCAATAACTGCTGTTTGGTGACTATAATGAGGCATCTTTCTTTCACTGAAAGTGATTTCATTTCTCTTTGTCCCTGGAAAAGCTGTTCCCTGCCCTTCACAAACCTAAGTTGCTGGCAGTCTGACCTAATTCTTATGATCAGCTAGGTTGAAATGACATGAAAAAAATTAAACAGAAAAGCTACATAATCATGTTTGAAGCATTTAGCACTAAGTCAGATCACTTATTAAAATTCCTATATCTTTACCCAAGAACTATATGTAATTTGTACAGTTACCATACATAATGTTTATATGTAAAATCCTATAATAATTTAATGAAGCAAAGGCTATACTCAGTTTTCCAAAAAAAGCATCCTGGTTCTAAATTATGCCTTGTTATTCCGCTTAAATGCAGCTTTCTTCTGCTGTCTGAACAATACTAATGTATATTCTTTCCTAATTAACATGATTAAACAAGGTAAATATTAAGGTTTTATTATTATTTTACAAAACCATCAGTTTTACATTCTAAAATACTATTCTGAACCATCTGGTCCATGAAATCAAGACATGATAATCTATAATTCAAAAATATTAAATGATTTTAATAGCATGGATTCTAATAATTATAATTAAGCTAATCTAAATGAATCTCATTTGAAGATGCTTTTTGTCTTCAGATTATTCTAGATATATTTTTGAAAAGTAATCACATCAATATGCTAAACAACATTTTATAAAAAATATGAAAATTAAACATTTTCCTTTGCACCATCACAAGAGAAGAGTGGCACAATATAAACAAGTATTTTTAAGTTAGATTTTACTCTTTCATTATGAAAGCAAATTTGCACTGTTTAAAAGTAAGCAAAGGCAGCTCTGAAATGCAAAGCCATACAATTATTTTTTTATTTTCAACTGAATCCTATCAGGAAAACATATATTTCTAATGAAATATGCTTTTTTTCACTCTGTATTAGAATAATGATATCTTAATCATCTTGTTTTTCTCTAGGTATTAGATAGTTTATTAACAGAATAAATGCAACATGCAGCTTTAGAGTAAGAGATCGGTAACAAGTACGTTTTTCAAGTAATGAAAAGTTAACTCAAAAACTTTATGTCCATTTTTAAGTTTATCCTACTTCATGTGGATCAGGATATTTTTTTTAAGTTCTATGAGTTATGCAGAAGATTGCCTCTTGAGACTATTAGTATGACACCTGCAATGCCAGATGTGGCACTGCATCCTGTCTATAGGTGCCAATGGGTTAATTTCTCCTGACACCAGGGGTGAGGATTGAAGGAAAGGGCTCTGATTAAACAACTAATTCATGGTTAAAAAAAAAAAAGGACCATACAAAGATTTCTTGTCTAAAATGATTAATTTATAAGTGGATTTCAAAACTGAAGAGATTATAATAAGCTATTTAATAAGGAAGAGAAATTATCATCACACAATGATGAGTCAACAGAAAGTACTAAGGGCAGGAGGCATGCAAAGGAATAGGAATGCTCCTCATATGTGAACAATATTGACATAGTCTCAAAACTAGAGTTGACAGAGTCTGGTTTCCTGTGAAGAAGCCTGAAAAGGTGCTGCAGTCCGTTGTCCTCACCAAGATAGATCACTGGGGTGATCTCAACAAATGTGAGGAGAGTAAAGAAGGGAACTAGAAAAGTAGCCACACCAGCACAATTTTACTATAGCTTTTGGATGGCCATTCTAAGAAGTAGATTTTTTTTTTGGGGTCCGGTTATGGGGCTTGAACTCGGGGCCTGGGTGCTGTCCCTCAGCTCTTCAGCTGAAGGCTAGCGCTCTACCACTTGAGCCACAGCACCACTTCCGGCTTTTTTCTTTTTGCTTATG